TTCTAAGAAAGAGTACAATTAATACCAAATAACCTGTTTATATATAGTTGAAATTTAATGACAATTTGTTAAGCTTTAGATACACTTCCGATACAATAAATCTTTGGAACTTTAAGCCATTCTCACACACTTAATGAACCCTGAAATAGGGTATAAAGTGGTCTTAGAAGAAAACCAAACAGTTGGTGGAGCTGAAGGAGGATCAGGAGGTGGATGGGATTGGAAAAACAGAAATCGTTTTTGCGCAATCCCCGCAAATCTGATAAGCAGTTAGAGAGCATTAGACCGGCCCAGCAGCACACACTCCCAAACGGAGCCGGCGAGCAAACAGACAAACGGAGAAACACATCCAAAGAGTCTGGCTCAGTTTGAGCCAGAGTCCCAGCCTCTCGGCCTCAGCATCAGCTTTAGTCTCAGCCTTAGCATCAGCATAAAGCCAGCGTCAAGTCAAAATCCCCAACTGGCCCGACCGGGACTGACTTTTGAGTGTTGCGGCACTGACTGGGCTTAGCCGCAGCAGACCTGGAGCTGGCCCCGGCTCTCAGCTCCCAGCCATTGCCTGTCCTGTCCTCCTCCCCAGATCTCCTCCAGATCTCCAGGCCGTCTCCTCCGCGCCCCATTGATGCTCGAGAGTCGCGACGTAACATGCAACATTACATGCCTATAATTTGTTTTCACACAGCAGGACGTTTTCACTCCATAAGACATCAGAAAGAGGTCTTAAATGGTCACATTACTGCCATTTCCAACAGCGTTCAAATGGCAGCCAGCCAGCCGAGGACTGGCTGCATCTTCTCCAGCGATTTGCTGCCCGTGTCTACCATGCCAGCCAGTGCCTTTTGGCCGGATCTATGCTACATAGCCTTCGGCCAATGCAATAATGTTTGCTAACTGTTATTTAATATAGTCATTATTTGGCCACAACTTGTCCCACTGAGCAAATGGCACTCCATTCCCCAATTTACCAACGCATCCCCCGCGGCATCCTACACTATCCTCCAGCTCCAGCTCCCTGCTCCCAGATCCCAGATCCCAGCTCTTGGCTCTTGGCTCTCAGTTCCCTCCTCCTGCCATTCACCGTTGCCTGTCGAACTTTGTGCAAACGCAATCTGGGAATAGCGCGACATACACTTCAAAAGAAGAAACTATAGAAACCTTAAATAAACTTATAGAAACCTATAACTACCCAAAGTTATATTTACCATACTGATTCTTTCTTTTCAATTTAATACAACTTTAATTAATTTGTGTTACTATATTTAGGATGTTGCCAAAACCTTGGCTTTACAAGTTGTCAACGTTGTGAAGGAGTTATTTCGGCCTCTTTGAAATATTTATCATAATCTTTTGGTGAACTAAGAGTGCAGCCTCCAGCTAGCAACTAGTATTTAACGTGCCATTAAATAAATTTAAACATACCCATTTAAAAACAATAAAGTAATGAACTAATAGCATAATAATAATAGAGAGAGTGCTTAACGTATAATTAAAGTTTTACCAACGAAGGAAACCTTATTTTTGTTAAACCAATCGTTAACCTTAACCCCTGCAATACAGCCTTGTTAAAAAGGGAATAAGAGATTAATCTTTGAACGTTGTAGGATTGTTAAAACATTGACAAATGTTTCTTTTACAGCGTCAAAATGTTGAATTACTATTGGTTTCAGTGCGGAGAACCCGGCCGATTGCCAGGGATTTGCTGGTGGGGATTGCTCTTGGCTCACTGCACCGATGATCGAAGGCACAAGTGCCCGCCTGTCGTGGCGCCCCCTCCTGCATCTGACCCCCCCCCCCTTGTTGCATTCGCATCTTCGGCTAAGCCCCAATTTGGATTATTTGTAGACATTAAATAAGCTGCGGCCACTGCAAATGCAGCAGGAATTAAGTCGCGCCAGAGTTAAAAATATCCGCAGAGACGTCTCGGGATTGTCCCATTCGCGGCTCCTAGATCGAGTTGGGGCGATAAAGGTGCAGCTGCAGATCGCTCTTCGCGGAATGGAGATGGAGCTGTAGCTGGAGCTGGAGCTGGAGTTTGGTAAAAGGCATCTTTACACAATTCAATTGAGTGGCGGATGGGGCATTTACATATGAATATACCAAGGGTCCTTTACCGTTATGGCCAGTAACAATATAATAAGAAAACAACAAAGCCAACGGCCAGCAGGCAACTACCAACAGCGGCGGCCCACACTAAACAAGTTAACATTAACCGATGGCAGCAGTCAACACCAACAATAACAATAACAATAACAATACCGATGGCAATAGCCACAGCAGCAGCAGCAGCAGCAGCAGCAGCAGCAACAGCAGCAGCAGCAATAAAAATAAAAACAAAACACGAAGCAACAGCACAACGCGCAGAAGTATCTTCAAAATACACTTATGCTGTCTTTTTATGGCATATCTTTTACTTATTTGCCCGCACTTAAGTATCGCGGCGTTCGTCTCGTCGGCCAAAGCTGCTTTTTCAGATTTTTCTCTACTTCTTTTTTTTTTGTTTTGTATTTTATTTTTATTTCTGATTTTTTTCGATTTGTCTGCGCGCCTCTTTGGTCTTGTTTTTATTTTTCATTTTTTGTTTTGTTTTTTTTTTTGCTTTTATTTTTATTTTCGTAAATGAAATGAAATCGAAATATGGGTCGTCGGCGCGCAGTCTGAGTGTCCGAGTGCGATTCCGATTCCGTTTTCGAGCCAGTGTCCCATCCATCGCCCACTTCCACTCCCCCTATTAACCCCTTCAAAAGAAGCAAAAAATAAATAAATAAATGAGTAAAGAGGAGAATACTAATAGGTCGAAGCAGAGATACCCTTTGCAGGTGGAGAATGTCAAACATTTAAAAAATGTATATACCAAGACCAAAGCCGGGATTAAAACAAACTTTTCAGACAATAAGGATAACGCTAATTACATATATAAAAACTAGAGTAGTTATTCGAGTAGTTGTGGGGTTGATTTCCTAAGTTTTAAAACTTAATTTTCTTCACGAGAACTTAATTTTACCTTTGCAGGGCATGTATGTATTATAATTTCATTCAGAAGCTTGTAACGCTGTGAAGGAATCATTTCTAACCAAATAAATCATTTATATTCTTTATCAGAATTAACAGCCGAGTCGATCTAGATATGTACGGCTAAAATTGATTTTCTTCAAAATTTTTAAAATTTTATAAGGGGCTACATCATTAAAATTGTCAAAAATCGAAAAAAATTTTATTTTTCTAGATATTTATTTCAGTATTCAGATTTGATTGACCTTTTAAAAACTAGCACAGAAAAGGTTTGCAATTTGAATTTAATGCTTTTTTGACTTAGTTATGCTATTTTAAAATTTTGATTAGTTGCTATAATAGTCATATAAAAAGTACGAAAAGTATATATTTAAACTATACGAATATTTTATGCAATTCGATTCTATAATAAAATTGGAACTGAAAGGATATATAAACTTCGGATACGAAGATTCCTTTCTTGTCGTTTATTGATTTTAAACGAAATAGGGTACAACAAAAATTAGCAAGAAATTCCAACATTCATGATATAAATGTTGCACCTAAAATATATATATTTTTTAAACGTGTTCTAGATAAATTAATTGCAAAAATATGTCCTTTGATATTTATTTACACAAAGACAAGATTAATAAAAAAAAGTTAAATACGATTTTATAAATATTTTATCACTTTCACAGCCAAAATTATACATTTTAATTCCATGTTTTAGATTCATATTCTCTATTTTTTTTTAATTTGTATGTACAAACCCCTGATTAAAGCCAAATACCCTGAAAGCAGGCAGTTTGTTCACAAGCTCCTGATCTCGAAACACACTTCCAAACACAAGAGATGTGAGCAAAAATTCGAGAGCAATATTATTGGCACGAATTATTAACCTTTTCTTTGGCCGTGTTTCTGTTATTTCTGTGTTTCCCTCACTTTTTTTTTGGTGGTGCACTTTAAGCCCACATCTTCTCTGCTGGCGAGAAATTGGCCCAAACATATTCATACATACATATGGATATATGTAGCAGCGTATGCGGAATGAGCTCCCAATTCGGCACGAAAGATCGTTCCAATTGGAACATGAGACTGCGGCGCCTGCACATTCATACATTCACATTCACACTCTATTTTTTGTTTTAATTATTTTTTGTATTTATAAATTTAAAGAACTCTCACGGATATGGGTTAATAACGCACCTAAAGGTGGGTCGGTTAATTAAAGTGAGCTGACCTTGCCCACGAAGTTTGAAGCTTTGCCGGGTCTTAACGTTAGCGCCGCCCTTGGCTGATTTTTAATATTCGTTTTTCGTTTTATTTCGTTGATGTGCACTGAAACTGCGAAGCACGAATCTGCTCGGATCGCGGTTATTCCACCTGATAACTGATTCACGCGCGTTAACGTTTTGGTTTGGCGCCGATCGCTCATCCGCAGGCACATCCGAACTCGGCCAAATGTTGTTGAAAATATCGATATTTTATATGAAAACAATAACAATATATATATCTCGATATTTTGTTTGCCCAAATATCGATATTTTTTATATTGTCAATGATGATATGATGATGTTTTGAAATAATTCCTGTTATTTAAAATTTTAAATCTAACAAGTCAAAATAACCATTTACACGTTTACAGAAGGGGTAGAATTCTCGGCTTTGAAGTAGAAGAACAATTTTTAATAAAATCTTCTTGGGATTAATATCTATCATTTTATTGTCATTTCTACCGCACTTTCTGGATTAAACCCTCTTCCTCGCAATAAAATTATAGTTTTTTAACGGACTTTAAAAAAGTCTACCTTATACCTATTATACCATGGACTATCGATTAACAGCATGCAACATGCAGCACCGATCTTCAAACCCAACATCTAGCAGGTTGCAATCGAATAGGCCAAAATGGTTTGAGGTTCGCAGCGAGCTGGGACAGTGGAGTCCATAATAAAAACTTTAGCATAAATACCGTCTTTAAAAATACAATTAATAAATCTTCTTAGTAGACTTACAATTTCAGAGCAAAACTTAAATATTCCACATTCGTGTTGTCCCCAAAATTCGAAGCGAGAACTGCTGCCGGCCAGCAGGAAAGATTGATATTTTATAAAGAAATTTTAACAGCTTAATGGACAGCTGCCAGGAATCGAGTAAGGCTTATTTATGCAAAGGTCTTGATATTTTTTTGATCCTTCATCCTTGATTTAAGATGAACACTTGGGCCAATCCACATCCATTATGTGGAGCGAGGAGGACTCTGCGGTCACCCATGGCCTCCTTCCTGTGCGGAGCGAACATGTATCCTTGTCCAAGGCTGTCAAGGCTACTAACTGCAAGGATCCTTTAAACAAGAAAATCAGAGCCAGCGAGAACTGGCAGCTGCTCCTGCGCAAACTGAACGAAAAGAAGGCCAGCCTTCCAATGGAGGAGCCCAGCAGCAAAACGATTATGGGGAATACAGTTCAAGAAAGCAAACCGCCCTTGGACACTGAGCTGCCGAAACTCAAGGAGCCAAGTTCTAAGGAACGTGCTGTCAATCACTGGCGTCGAATGTGCAGCGAAATAAACAAGAGGGAAAGGGAGGCTGCCGCGGAGAAGGAGGAAGCCAGCCAGGCTTTATGCTGTAAGCCTTCCAACAAATCGCTGAAGTACAAGCGGTCCAAGGATCTCGGATCGGACCGAGTGCCAAGCACTTCCTCCGGTTCGACATCCAGCAAAGTTGTCTCGGACCTGAAACGGGAGTCCTTTAGCCTCCCACCGCAGCAGTCGTGTGTGCTGCGAGAGGAGCCGCCAAAGTTCGCTCAGGGTATAGTCAAAGATGGGGATTGGTGCTGCTCCGGCGAACAGGAAGTCCATAAAAACAGCCAGGGGCTTAATCAGGACACCAATTCTTCGCAACAGCAAAACGGACTGATCAGTGTTGATATCTCACCGGACTCCAGCTCTTCATTTACGGAAGCGAAGCGTCGGAACACATCCCAGATCAAGCGCCGCAGAACCACCAGTACAGATGAAGTCTCAACTACAGCTACGAAAAGCAAAAAGTCCCTCAGCCTCAGCAGCGGAAGCGCAGGTCAACATTTCCCCAACTTCCGGCAACGGCAGCAGGAGCTACATCGCTATCGCGTTCTCATCGAGCAGCGGCGCCTGGATCTCCTCGAGCTCAGGATCGCCCGCGAAAGGGAGGAGGCAAAGCAATACATGATTTTGTTCCAAAAGAAAATGCAGATCAAGGAGTGCAAGATTCGAGCGAACGAGGCTTATGACCGCTCGAACGTTTAAGAATTACTCACTTTGCAGCCACTAAATCCATGGTCACCCATTATTCAATAATTTTTACCAAATTTTATCAACACTTCTGAGCAAATAAAAATAACTGTATAAATTCAAAACTAATTTGAGATTATGAGTTGATCCACGTTATCTCAAATTAAAAGTCGTTCATATTATAATTACTTGGGAATTTAAAACCATTACAAACATTTGGCAATCACTTAGAAAGACAACATTTTATTTCACTCTCATGGTATTCTGATATTTTTAACGGTAAATTTAAAAAATATACATGAGTGTGACCAGCTGCTCAGAGTGAAGAAAATAAGTTTATGCTAGCGTTTTGAGGTTTTGAGCGTAGAAGCCGACGGGCACTCTTATTCTCCGGCATGATTATCTAAACATTTAAACATTTTGTCTTGAAAAATAAATAAAAATGAACCTTAACGCGAGAGTTGTGGTCAATAGATTGGCGCAGCAGTGCGCCTACAAGCGAATCGGTAAGGACACCACTATTTCCCCCCGGCACTTAGTCACCAATTACCTGTTTTCAGTCACATTCTCGACGAAGCCTGCGGAACATGCTGTTCAAGCCCAAGATGAACCAAAGAATGTCCAGGGCTTACCCATCACGGCCTCGCAGACAACCCCAGTACTGCCCACCACGACCCGCAAGCCCATCATTCCGGCCAACTATCGGTTCGTCTATCCCGAGTTCCTACCAGATCCGAAGGTGGAGTGGAGGAACTCCATTCGCGAGAAGCTGGAGCGCCTGGACATGTTGGAGCGGCGGAAGCAGATCGATCTGCCTGAGTTCTACGTTGGATCTGTGTTGGCTGTGACCAGCTCCGATCCCCACGCCGCCGGCAAGACCAGTCGCTTTGTGGGCATCTGCATCAATCGGGATCGGTGCGGTCTGCGTGCTCGTTTTGTCCTGCGCAATGTGATCGACCACCAGGGCATGGAGGTGGTCTACGAGCTGTATGACCCTACCATCCAAAAGGTGGAGGTGCTGCGACTGGAGAAACGCCTGGATGACAGCCTTTTCTATCTGCGCGACGCGCTGCCCGAATACAGCACCTTCGACGAGAACATGGAGGTTGAGCCTCTGGAGGAAGGCGCTCCGGTACCGGTGAATGACATTAAGGTTGTGCTCCGTCCCCGTCCGTGGCTGGAGCGTTGGGAGCGACAAAATCTTCGTGGTGTGGCCAACATTGATCAGTATCTGAAGGACAAACATCGCCAGTCATCGGCCAGAGTGCAGAAGCCGTGGGAGAAGTACGATATGATGAAGCACTATCGTTCGACGATTGCGGAGGAGGAGCAGACGGAAATCTTTGCCGAGGTGCACACGGAACTGCACACCCTGGAGCTGCAGCGCAAGCGAAACAAGCGGAAGCGCACTTTCGTGAAGCCCAAGCACCTGGCGTAGTTTCCCATTGTTGTCCATTTTTGTAGATTAATAAATACGGAAAACTGTTTGAAGATTATCGTGTAAATCACTATAGAACTTTTACGATAAATTGACATAAAAATGCGATTCCCAAGAATTTTAATGATTGCATGATTTTATATTATTCAAAATGATGAATCTTTTAAATTCATTTTTTTTTAATTAGGGAGACAATTAGAAGATAAATCGTTTAAGGACATTTTAAATGGCATTCATGGGAATAAATTATTCACGCCTCCGTCTTGGGATAAAGCTAAATTAATTAGTTTATTAGTCATAATTGTAGTGTAGTGCTTAGCAGCTAAACGCAGAATAATTTACAATGCTCTCACATCACTTGATTAATAAACGCGATACTTGTAGAAGTTGACGAAGGATATCGTAGCATTCCAGCCTATTATGGTGACGACCAGATACAGAAGGAAGATGATGGGCAGGGCTATGAGTATGATGCGAGTGTTCTTCAGATGGGGAATGCCTGCAAAATGGAAGGAATTAATTATAGTGGACATCAGATAAACACGACCAATCGTAACTTACAATTGTAACCCAAGAAGGTAATGTACACGTAGTAGCCCATGGCTAGCAGCCAAAAGGTGTTGCCAAGGAATCGTGAGATGAACCACGTTTGGCTAATCAACCAATTGTAGAAGAACAGCTGGATGAAATGCAACAGCATCAGTGGCGGAAAGAAGGCGTTCAAATGCACATCGAAGGCGTAGCCCCACTCGATGTCCGGCTCCAGACTATTTGTCCGTAGATACCGGTTCGTTACCGCCCAGAAGAACGAGGCTATGATGATGCCCACAAAGATGCAGTCGACGAATACCACGTAGAAGATGAAGGAGATACTCTGCCAGAAGGAGAGACCCAGGACGTAAGCAAAGCCCAAAGAAGTGACTGTTGAGAGAAGAAATTAATCATTAAAGTGAGTTTCATAAAATTTTTGATAGTTCAGATAATAGATAAGGTATGAAATGTAGTGGAAGGCGCTATAGAAAGGAAACGGCATAAAAACTTGCAATTTTTCACATACATATGAGTAATTAGGGCACGTAATCTTATTGGAAACTTATGAAATGAACAAAATATTCACAAAATCCGATGCGCTGGTGGTTTGGATAACTTGTATCTAGACATGTTACCAATACACAGAGTCATTCCAGCACTCAGAGTGCCAACTTACCACATAGGCAGACCACCAGGAGCACCAGAAACGCTGGATCATCGCGGGCGAACTGTGATTTGGTCTGTTTCCGGTAATTGAAGTTCCGGTACACCTTTTGGGGAGCTATAAACAGGTAGAGCATCTGCCACAAGGCAAATTCGAAGTCCATCTGATTGAATTTGAGCAGACGTCGCAGATATTTGTAGCTCTTTGTGGTCGCTGAGAGGCAGTCCCTCCGATGGTTCGCCGGTGGCGGCAGCGGTGAGTGGAGCCGCGAGGCACTCGAGTAGCCGGACACCACCGACGGCGTTGGCGATTGCGTATACTTAACGTGGCTATATTGGCTCATTTTGTTTGGTTTTAAAAACCTAAATTTTATGTTTTCTTCGGCTATGAGCTGCGCTCGAAGCGCCACGAAATACCAACTGGCTGAACGAAATGTACTAAAAATGCCAAGCGGAAGGAGACGATGTGGTCTCACATACCGGAGAACAGCTGACTAGAGTGGGACGTAGATTCACGAATATTTTTGGCACGAATGTGATGCAAGTTTAATTTATTAATTGGAATTATATTATAGATTCTATAAATCAGTGAATCAATCAATAATAAAGATGATTATTTATTGTTGACAACATATATACATTTCTGGACGCTCTGGCAGAATCGAGCATATTTTTCTTTGTGGTTCGTGTCCCTGTTAAACAACTTGCCCATCTATAATGTGCTGTTAAGTCTCTGTTATTTACAGGGAGTGTCAACTTGTCAACTTAAAATGTAAGACCGTACATCATTTCTTGATTGTTATTATTATCGTTCACAAATTTCAAGTTCCGTCAGCCGAATAAAATTATCAAAAAATCTTCATTTTGCGAATAAGGTGAGTGCGCTTTATTCTTTACCATTTGCCAAGCGACCGTAGGGAACCGATGTCTCCCTTTTACAGCATGTTCCCGAGGACCAGTGTCAAGTTCCTGCGTTTGGCGCAACAGCCAATACGTAATCTGCACCACGGACGGGTTCCATCTGCCCGTCTGTTTACCGGGAGGGAGCCGACCTTCACTCTAGAGTCACTGACCAACAGAGAGCTAATCCGCGTCCACGGCTCCGAGGTCGTGCCGTTCCTGCAGGGTTTGGTGACCAACGATGTGTCCAGGATTGAGTCCGCCAACGGCCCCGCCTCGATCTACGCCCACTTCCTTAACAAAGGCGGTCGCGTGCTTTTCGATACAATCATCTACCGGACGAATAGGCCGGACACTCTGCTGGTGGAGTGCGATCGTGAAGCCTCATCAGACTTGCGCCGACACCTTCGCCTATACCGCGTCCGCCGGCGCATCGATATCGACAGTGTGGACGACGAGTATACAACTTGGGTGATATTGAATCCCAAGACAGCACCGCCAACCGCAGCCAGTTTGAATAAGGATATCTTTGTGGCGCCGGATCCCAGACTGCGCGCACTGGGTACACGCATCCTTGTGCCCGCCGACATGAGCACGACCCAGCTGGGCAAGTGTTTGTCCACCTTTGGCACTGCTGGGAACCCCACCGCAGAGAGCAACTACCAACTATTGCGCTATAAGCTGGGAGTGGGCGAGGGCAGCCAGGAACTGCCGCCCGGCAAGTGCTTTCCGTTAGAGGCCAATGCAGATTACCTAAATGGCGTGAGCTTTCAGAAGGGCTGTTATATTGGCCAGGAGCTGACTGCTCGCATCCACCATTCGGGCGTCGTTCGCAAGCGATACATGCCTGTCCGTTTGACAAGTCAGCTCGATGCGGGCTCCCCCCATGAGGTCACCTCCGTAGCGGGGGCAAAGGTGGGACAAATCTTTGGATCGGTCCGCAGCCATGGTGTGGGGCTGTTGCGGTTCGAGAAGGCTCTCAATGGCCCACAACTGATTGTCGACGGCGAGCATTGTTTTGCAGACCGCCCGGAATGGTGGCCAGAGGATATGTCCGGGAAGCATCGACATGCGATGGTCGAATGACCCGCGGCCTAATTTTAAACACATATAACGCTACTATGTTACTCATCCATATATTGTTATTAGTATAGTAAAGTCTAGTCACGCCGAAAATATGCATAGCTTCCTATCTTGCTTTTGGTCTTTCAGTGAATCTTGGCTGACATGGAGGCCGATGACGACTTCGTCCTGGACAATGAAGCGGCCGAGATAGAGCGCTTGGAGCTGTCTGCTGCCAAGGAGTGTAAGCCCACCAATCCCGAAGAGGAGGATGAGCGCATAGCTCGCATCGACTTCCAATGCTCCGGCTGCGATATGCATGAGCTTGTGCACTATTTTGGAAGGGAACCGCCCTTTGCATTGGGTATTAAGTATCCCGAGGATAACTACGTGATGCGGGATCCCTTTCAGGCTCCACCACCGCGCTGGCAGGCAAAACCGGAATTCTACATTTCTCTGGGAGCCAAGTGCTCCAATTGTTCCAAGACTGTTTGCAAGGATTCCGGCTGCAGTTTTTATTACACGACCACCTTTTGTTTGCCATGTGGTCGAGAAAACCTCAAAAACTGGCCAGTAGAGGCCCAGGCGCGTCTCCGGAAGCAACTCCCAGCCAGCCAAGGCGACAAAATTAAACAAAGCTATAATTTTTTGAAGCAGGAATTATTTATAGGTATTAGCGTATTTTAAAATTTTAAAAGCGATTAAGGTGATTAAGACTCGACTTTGTGTACATGTTGGCCATTTACACATTATTATAATGTTTCTTAAAAAAATAAATCTTAGTAACAACATTAGATGTTAACTTGTCCCTTGTTTTTCTCAGATCATGATATACGCTTAACAAGAACGTTGTTTTCTCAGATTTCATGAAGTTTGGTTTGCGTAAAATACATGGATAGTCAAACCTCTATTTAAATAATTACTAAGTCTTACTGCAGGATAAATCCAATAATTGGTCATAGAAATTAATTTATATTTTTAAAACCAAATTCTTCCGACATATCAAAGTTTAAAAACGCATATCAAAGCCAAAAAATCGTTGATTTGAGTTTGGAAAGCTTTCCTGTACTAGTTTTTATTAAAATAATAAATCTGCATACCCAATTAAAAATTTTAAAATGTTAAAAATTTTGCCAATTTTTGATAATTTTAACGATGTAACCCCTTATACTATTTTGAAAATTTGAAAAAATTTTGAAAACTTATTTTTCGACCGGACATGGCTATATCGACTCGGCTGTTCATGCTGATCAAGAATATATATGATTTATAGGGTCTGAAATGACTCCTTCACACAAGCTTCTGACTAAATTACCTTGGAAAAGGCTATAACAACTTATTTATCTTCTTATATAATGCACAAAGCTTTGAGTACCAAATGTAGATTTCTTACATATTTTTAAATATTCTGGCAATACTTCCGAGTGCAATTTTAAATAAAACAACGCTGCATTTTTTGGAAAGGCAATAAATTTGAGCATTACATAGGTTAGATATCAAACTTCCTAGATGATAGCGGCTTACATTAAAAATCGGTCCCTTGATCTGAGCAAAACATGCGTTAAACACCCACAATTGCTGGGCAGTTCAATGGAACCGGTCAGTTTCAGCTGCTTGTCCCACAATTAAGGCATCATTCAACGAATTTTGGTCCAACCCGAACTCCTGGTCGTCGATGATCAACGGGCAGCGAGCACCGGTCTACCATTGGGCCATGCGATTTATGGCACTATGTCCAAGCAATTGCACCGAAAGACAAAAAACAATCTTTATCACATTTATTGCAGTGCCCCAGACCTTTTGTCAACGATGCCGGGGTTCAAAGACAAAGGGCAAGCGGGTGCCAAGGAAAAAGGTCAGGAGATGACCCGAAGGATGCCAACTGAATGCACAAAAGGAGCAACGCGCGCGCTTCTCTCATCTAGCATCTCCCATCTTTGAGGTCGTCTTAGAGGTCAAGTTTGAACCTATTTAGAAAATTCCAAGGGTCCGTAAATCGAAGAAAACTCTGCAAAAAGGACACTCAATCCAATGAGAATCTGTCTCAGAAATTGTAGTAGTTAAGAAACTGATCCTAGCTCAACCAAAATTGAGTTGAGTTAATCGTTAGGGGTTGTCTCTTCCGACAGCGAGCGATCTGCACTCAAATCTTTACTGAGTTGAGTTGTTTTATGGGGGTTGTTCGATTTTCTCTCTTTCGAGAATATATACTCATCCTCTCACAGTTTCAGTGAGCGACTCAATGAACCCACATGGGCGATGGCCATCGATCCTTGTCCACGCAGGACACTTCCGGATCGCATTCAATTGTAATGCTGCAACAATTGCGCTTTTCACTGGATTCTCTCTATTTATTTGTCTCTTCCGATTGCTTGTCACAGTTGTTTCTTCTATTGGTTTTTTAGCTCATGTTACCTTCTTTGTTTCGATCATTGTTAGATCCTGGCTACGGCCAGGATAAATGGCCAAAATTGGCCTGGCATTCCATTCTATCATATAGTATCCAAGCGACAGCCGTCGGAAATCTTTTGGCGCCCATAAGAATTAAACGAAAATTAAGCGCAAACATGAGAATCCTGTCACATAAATTGTAATGTGCGCAGCCTGCACCTTACCCTCGACTATTTTTAGTCCTTCGGGGCAGCTGTGTAGGGTTTACCCCCGGTTCTATGTTCCCTGACTTACATAAAAATTAGTCCATCTGCAGCCGAGTTATGCGCTGCTGAGGAAGCTGCTTGATTAACACATGTCCTGGCCGATGCGGGCGTTTCCCTGGCGTGGCGAACAAGCACCTCCGCTGGCATCCCAAGTCCCATGTGCAGTAGTCCTCCGACGATATGTTCGTGCCTGGTTTGTTGATGCTCCTAACTCATTCATTATGAATTGGAGGTGTTAAATGAGCCACATGCATCTTGTTCGGCTGCCCAAGTGCCCGCCGTTTCTCGCGGTGTCGAGTGTAGTCGGTGGGAGCAACCTACAAGAAGGGGTTGTTGCTCTGCAATTCCAGATGGGGTTTATTTTCTTGATGGGTTTATTTTTATAAAATTTTCCGTTTTTAAAGAAAAGCCATGTCTGAGCTGATAATATTATATTACTTATAATATATTATCTTTATATTCATCAACAGCCGGACCAGCCAAGTCTAGCCTGTTTCTTAATGTTAAGGTTTTCAGCATATCCTAATGTTTCAGGGAGAATATTCTAATATAATATACATATATCCTTGGTCCTAAAAATGTATTGATACCCTGTTAAATGTTTTATAGCTAAGCAATGAAAAATATTAAGTAATAATCGAAATTTTTTCTTCAAAACTTTCCATTGTATTAAAAGTTTATAACTCTCCTATAAGGATCTTTATTGCCTTCAGTTCTTCCCTGTTTTTATGCCCTTAGAATCCTGCTTTAATTTCTCTGGAAATGAGACCAAATATTCAAATTCCCCACAAATATATATTTCAAAATCAAATTTCAAATATTTATTGCAGCAAGTTCATTCAAATTATAATTCATAGAAAATTCATGAAGAATTTTCAATGCAATGCAATTTTCAATGCCTTATTGAATCATATTTTCAATTCAGTTCCGCTTTTCCTCGTTAGTTGTCAAACAGAGCCAGTCCATCCTCCTCACATCTCCAAAACCAACCGTTACACCCACGAAAACGCAAAATCAAAGATTAATCATGCTCCATAGAGAATGCCACAAGATTGTGATCATATACATGGGGAAATCGTGGGAACAACAATGGCTACAAAACGCTGAATCAATCATAAGACGCGCCAATCCTCAAGGAAATCGAACAATGCGCAGGCGCAGAGCTAAAGATTGGGATCGGGCCTGAGGTTAGGGTCGAAGGTTAGTAAGGGTGAGAAGCGGCAGGAGACTAAGGAGCAGAGAGCAAGGAGCAAGAAGAAAGGACTCGGGTCGCAGGGTGAGGCAATGTTGCGCGTGCGCTACGCACGCTCCCATTAAATGTTTACGCTATTACGCTCGGGAAATCGGGAGCCGAAGGAGCAGGCAAGGAAATGAGCCTATTATAATGCCTCGAGTCCCGACCCCGACCCCGACCCTGTCCCTTCTTATGACCCCGATTTCCCTAAGACTGAGATGGCGACCCCGGAAAACACAAATCTCTTGCGCGCCAACACGCGACATTTACATTGCGATGAGACCCGAGACTCTTGGATTTTGACTTAGGGTTGATATTGCTGCCACAGACTTAGTCCTTCCCGCTTCTCACAAATGATTTTCTTATGTCTGCTCCTTTGGGATTTGAGAGTTCGGAATTCAGTGTTTGCTTTCCCTGGAACTGAAACCCCTCTCATTCAAATGAGTTGAGCTCCTTGGGCGATGCGATGTTTGTGTTTAGTGTGATCTTTAGCAGCTTGACATCTGCCCTTGGTGTCTCCGCCTGGAGAGTTATGGAGTTATGCTCTAATTTTCGGTAGTTTTTATTTAATTTTCCATCCAGCCAAATTTGTTGTGCTCCAAAAGTATATGTACTTGGGGGGCTGCTTACTGCTTTAACATCTGCTTCTCGAAAACTATGTCCTTATAAATATAATTTTCAATACTTATGATGGCCAGGGTTCTATTCTGAGTGTCCTTGATAAGCCCCTGGACCCATGGAGATAGTTTCTTCCTCTTTTTAAGATCTTAACTGAGGTCCTTGGCTAAATGTCAGCTCAAATTTAACGGCAATTGCGCACGCCTTTGCAAAAAGAAAGCCAGCTAAGAAAGGACCTTGAGACTTATCGGAACTGGCCCATCGGCTGATCGGACTCTGATTTCATGGCCGTCCGCTTACGAGGACAAAGACAGGATCGGTCCAATTAGGCAGGATAAAAAACTTCACTTCTGCTAATCCCGTCAGCGTGTGATTGGCCTCAGACTTGAAGTCCAATGAATGGGCTCAGGAAATTGGAATTCAGATTGAGAACTCCGATGAAGATCATAGTGGATACAATGTGACAATGTCACGGTTATCGATGCAGAAACACGAACGGACCCGTGCTCATCTGTTGTGGTTTGGCGGCGCAAAGGAAGTCGATACCAAGCCCGATAGCACTCGGATACGATACCTTTCCCCTGGCTGGTTGGGTCGACAGTCCGACTTTGTCCTCATCATCGTCGCCTTTGACTGGCGGCTGAATGCGGATTGTTTTTGTAGCCGTCGGCCGCTGGCTGTCAGTCAGCTGAGGACAAACCGGATGGAACTAGAAAATAATAAACAATATACGCACATGTATCCTGTGCCAGGATATTAAGGTATACTCAAAAAAAAGTTCTTATTATAAAATAATATTATATTGCCAAAAACTCACAAGAATAAATGTGTCTTACTATGTTTTAGTGTTTATATAAAGTATTTTACGAATATCAAAACCATGAATATTAAAAAAAACAATTGTTTTTCTAAGTGTACAAACATTTTCCTAAGTGTATTTAAAGGGAAAAGTCGAGGAGAAGGAGAGGCAGATTTGCTGATGGTTCGAAATGAGATGCAGGCGTTGCTCTTACATCTCCCACTTCTCGGCATCTTGCCCGGGCACCTCATCCACCTTTCAACCAAAATCCACTCCTCTTGCTCAGATGCCTGCTCCTACTCCTGTCCCTACTCCCACTCCCTCTCCAATCCTGACCGCGTGCGTGGCCATTGTCCTGACAGCCGTTATTTGAATGACATTTGAATTTTGTGCATTTGCGTCCTCGTTGGATTTCAATTGTCGGGGCTGTTCTCTGTTCAGCAATCAACGGGCCATGCGATCGGATCGGAGCTAGGATCAGCATTT